CACTAGAGTTATTCTTAACCTCAAATAGGACAGACAACCAAATTCATGTTAATAAAACAATTAAAAACTTAAACATATAAGTAACCTTATATAGACTGAGAAAATTTTATTTATGTATTTAGAAGTGTGTGTGTGTGTGTGTTGTGTGTGTGTGTGTGTGTGTGTGTGTGAGTAACAAAATTAAAATGAAAGAGTCATGGATTTGAAAGAGAACAAAGGAATTAGCCCATGGAAGGGATTAAGGATAAGTGAGGTAATTACATTATAATCTCAAGAAAATTTATTTTTAAAACAGAAAAGCAAATCAAAAACAATCACTGAGATGGGAAATTTATATGGGGGCCATTTTAATTCATAGAACAAAGTAAAAATGTTTCTCTCCCTTGAAGGTACAAAGAGTCATAAGCAAGGTTTTACAGACCTTAGAACAAGCATGCTGTTTATGCACAATAATGTATATTGACTATAAAGTTACTCATGTGTTGCTATGTAAAATGCTATGTTCTCTTGAAGAAGACTTTTTACAAATGTGACCAAGTACATTAAATATGAAAATAAGGAAGAGACATTTAACATTGTTGAGAAGTAATTAAAAACATAGTTTACCATATGGTACTCTATCATTAGTTCATTCCAGCAAAACAAATTCTGGAAGCATTTATTATCTTCTGCCATTTTTAAAGAGGCCTAATGTTCACATATCCCACTTAAGCCATGAACAAAGTGAATCAGATTTAAACGAATGACAAGAAATTCATTTGTCTGAATTCAACAAATTACACTAAATGAGACAATGTGAATGTCCTTCCCTATGTGTAAGAAGTTGTTACAACGATTTGTCTCTAGAAAGGCATTATTCAGGCTGCTGAATGGAGGGCATGGTTAAAGACTGCACATTTCCTTTCCACATTCAAACTGTCTAAGTCCCATTGAGAAGGTATTTTCAGGCATGGCCTCTGTAACAGGCTTAGATGAGGTCATGAGGGGTGGATCCTCGTGAGGGCAGGAGTGTCTTTAGACGGAGAGTAAGAAACCACAGAGGCCTTTTTGTCAGGTGAGGAAAAAGTGAGATGATTGCAGTCTGAACCCAGATAAGAGTCTTCCCCAATAACCTGACCATGCTGATATACTGATCTCAGATTTCCAACCTCAGTAACTCTGACAAATATATGCCTATTTTTCACTACCATGTCTTTCAGTAAGGTGTAAGAGCAGCCCGAGCTGATTGAAGCCATTTAGAAGGCAACACAATCTGTGTTACTCCTTTAGTGATGTGAAACATGGGAGTTTTACGTTTAATTAGAAGAAGTAAATCAAACACACACAATTTTCTTTTTAAAATCCCATGTAGTTCCTCTAAAGTAGAGATCCTCATTTTAGTTTATGCAATATGATTTATGAATTCATGAAGAATATTCAAAGGAAACATTTTCCTTGAGGTGACACAAAAGCTCCTTAGTGCGGGCATATACTATTTGCAAAATAGAGCAATTAATGAGGAAATACACTGAACAGTGGCTTCACAGATACTAACATAACCTTCTGAATGGTAATAGCATCTTTCACATTGTTGGAGCCAATATTTCATTCTCATAGGTAACTTTGTGCCATGTTTCTAGGTTGGTCTTTGGCTCTCACACAACTCTAGTTTCAATGCGCTCTAATCCAACTGGCTTTCTCAAGATTGCGTCTTAGACTTAGGTCCTAAGAAAGCAGATTTTTGTCCTGCATCTATTTTGATAAAGTGATAAGTGGTCAAGTAAGAACCAAGATGACTACAGGAGTTATAGGAGAATCCGCTATTAATGTAGTTTTGTTATTGGTCGCACAGGCAAACTGCATTCTGAGCGTTTATGTCTAGACTATAGATTTGAGATGCTCTTGCTCTTTTATTACCACACCCTCTGAGCCACTGCTGCACGAATGGATACATTTGTGTATAGATACACAAATAGATGACAGTTACTTATGTGAAGAAATGTACATATAACTTTGTGGCTTTGACACACCAGGATTTTTTATTTATTTATTTATTTATTTATTTATTTATTTATTTATTATATATAACCAAGTCCATTTAAATGAAAACAAACATTTATAGACAATATTTGGGAATTTGGGCGTCGTTCTTTCCAAACTACTTCCTGCTGGTAAGGGGCACTGTCATGCGAGATTCTAAGAAGATGCAGAAATCCTGGCTGTAGTCTGTAAGGCTGTTTTGTCCAGTTGTTTTGAATGTAGGATCACCTGGTACTCTGTTTCAGGTGACACACCAGGATTTTTAGGACATAAATTACTTAAGAAAAGATGATTGCTGGGAGATGCCATTATGTATATATGTTTCTCATACTGGTTAATGAATAAAGCACTGTTGGCCAATAGGAAAGCAAGATAGATGGGACTAGGAGACAAGGAGGAAAGAGGAGGTAGAAAGGAGGAGTCAAGATGGAGAGTTTGGAGAGAATAGAACTGCCAGCTGCCTGTCCCTGGTAAGACCATGTGGAAATACATAGAAATGGGTTAATACTTAAGACAGAGATAGCCGATAAGAAATTAGTAACAGCCCAACAGCATTGTATCAAATACAGAGTCTCTGTGTGTTATTTCGGGCTGGCGCGGCTGCGGGACAAGACCGGGCGTCAGGTGGAAAAACCGTACTCCTTACAGATGGACATGAATTTTAGCATGAAACAAAATATAATCTCAAATGATGGTGTTCTCCCCAGAAGTCAAATCATAGAAGCTTCTTATTGAAGTGTGTAATAGTTGAAGAGGCTCATAACTGGTCAAAGTACAAAGAATAAACAACTATGAGATCTCAGCTGTAAGTAGGACATTTACATCAGCACCTATGCTCAGGAAGGTTCAAGTAAGGGAGAGCAGGCAGAATGCTAAGTACCAAAGCAAGAGGTTGTTTAAGGTGCTGAGTAATAGACATGATGTGAAGGCTACACACAGGAACTCATAGAATATGTGGTAATCTTCATAGAACATATACAACATAAAGACAGTTAAATTTCTTAGATGGAAGGAGACAGATCTTGAAAGGCACTAATCCCAGTTGAGGATTTGGCATTTGATGCTTTTTATGGAATGAAAAATACATTTCACATGGTAGATTCCCTTAGTAGCCTATACATTCCCTACTGGATAACTCCACACACATGCTTCAATAGGCAGCATTAATTGGACTCAGAGACTTATTAGTATATTTTCAAAAAGGTCTGAAGTTTGGAAAAAGAAATGTTGGTGAGACAGGGCCAGACTGGGGTGGTGCACGTCTCTAATCCCAGTACTTGGGAGGCAGAGGCAGTTAGAACTCTATGAGTTCAAGACCAGCCTGATCTATAAGAGCCAGTTCCAGGACAGGCTCCAAGGCCACAGAGAAACCCTGTCTTGAATCACCAAAAAAAAAAAAAAAAAAAAAAAAAAAAAAGAGTTTAGGGGAAGATATTGGGGTTTAATATGATCAAGATAAATTATATATTTGTATGAAATTTTCAAAGACTAGGAAAAATGATGAATCCCATCATCATTGATCTCCTTATCCCAACCCTGAGATGTTTTTCTGTGTGAGAATTTGTGTCAATGTGCATGACCACACCTAAAATAATCCGACTTCAGATACTGCACTTTCTTTGTTTTCCAAAACAGCCAGGCTGGCTGTCCAATGTGTGATGATTATTGACTTGACTACCTCTGGATTTAACTAAAACCACAAATAGTTGGGCAAACATGTGGGGCATTTATGTTTATTTTGAAGTAAGAAGATCCACTTCTACTTAGGATCTTTGAAGTAGGAAGACACAAATTTAATTCAGATCCTTTGAGCAGGGGTGGGAAACACACCTTTATTCTGGGTATTGAGGCAGTGAAACACAACTTTAATCTGTGCTGTACCTTCTGCTAGGAGCCTGTATAAGGACATGGAAGAAGGAAGCTTTTATCCTTTTCCTGATTGCTCTTGCCTTGCTGGTAAGTCCATTCTTCAACTGGCGTGAGATCCTATGGCTTAGGAATTCCAGCATCTACTGATAAGCTTCATGGACTGAGCAACTTTTTGATTCTTGGATTTTTCCATTCATAGGCAGACATTGTTGAACCATAGCCTATAAATAATTCTAATAAATCGCATACACACACACACACACACACACACACACACACACGTGTGTGTGTGTATTCATGTATATGTGTATGTGTTGTCTTAGTTATGGGTTCAATTTCTATTAGAGAAACAATGATCAGAGCAACTCTTATAAATGAAAACAATTAATCAGGGTGGTTTATAGTTTCATAATTTAGTTCATTATTTTCATGATGGGACATGGCAGCATGTAGGCAGACATGATGCTGGAGAATGAGCTGAAAGTTGTACATCTTGACACACAGCCAACAGGAAGTGAACTGTGACACTGGGCATAGCTTGAACATATGTGACCTCAAAGCCCAACCCCCAATGACACGCTTCCTCGAACAAGGTCACACCTACTTCAAAAGTTTCCTAAAAGTGACACTCTTTTTTTTGGGGGGGTGGTTCTTTCAAATTCATATATATGAGAGAGAGAGACAGAAAGAGAGAGAGAGATGAATTTGGTAAATTCTGTAGTTCTGTTACTCTGGGGAATGATGACTAATACACAAGATCAGTAGGTCTTGGGGTCAGTCATGTCAGAAAATATGATGACCTTTTCCTGTGTGTTTGTCCAGACCCTTGATTACTCTATTTATTGATGTCACTCATGGCACTTAACAAATATCATTTAACAGAATTTCTCTGGCCCTTATATTTAAAGTTGCTGCTCTGTAAATTTTTCTCTAATTTAATTTTACATGTATTTGTATTCCTTGAATTTCTCTTTCCCTACATTAGGATATTACTGAGTCCCATTGCATGACAAGCAACCCATCTGTGTTGTACACTCACCACCCATGGTCATGATTTGCTTCTACATAACTTTAATATATGGATGAAAATGCATGGTAAGAAATGGAATTATGTGTTCATTTCAGCAGCACATAAACTAAATTGGAATGACATAGAGAAGATTAGCATGTCTCCTGGCCAAAGATGACTCACAAGTTGTGAACAATTGGAATTATGAAAGTCCTACTCTGCTAGACATAGTATACTACTTTACCCCCCAAAGTCACACATCATAAAAAATACCTGTCAAATAGAGCTCAGTTTTGGGGAATTAGTCTAAGTATGCCATCCATTATTTTATAGGCTAATGGAGGAAATAACAGAAAAAAAACCTGAAGCATAAACATTTGCAGGCTCTTCAAACAGCCAATTAAAATTGGTTTGCTCTCTTTAAGTTCCCATTCCTCTTTGTTTTACAACACAAGAAAAGAAGGAAATGAAAATAAAGTGGAGATCCAAGGAAATGAGGGAAAAGGAGGAATCAAAAAATATATTTTAATTAGTTCACAATGTAAATACAGTCAAGACCTACATAGAGTGAGCCTGGTACAGCATGTAAATTTAGTATCACTGCCATGACCTCTATTGCTTTATAGATAAGGTACCAAAAAGTCTCCTTCAATAAAATTTTCACTTTAAATAGCAAGAGAAACTTTAATCTCAATCTTATTCACTTTTCAAAATAATTTCAGTTGTGCATAAATCTCACTAATGACATAGATATAAATATTACTAAAATTTATTTGAGGCAATGATGTTTCTTTCAGAGGGAAAGAGATATTTATACATATAAATACACATACATACTCATGCACAAATATATCATATGCATGCCTACACACACATATATATGTATAAACTTACACATGCACATACATATATAGTTTTGCTATAATATACAGTTTTTAAGCAGGTTTAAATTCAGATTTATACTTTTTTATAAACAGACTGTCCTACAAATTCTATCTTTTGCAACGTCATTGAAATGAGATATAATCAATGTACTATAAGTTCAATATTTTTTAAATATGCAATTTTGTCAGTATGGATGTACAGATAAATCATAAACCATTTCCAGAAAGAAAATAAGAATTTCTATTATCCTCCAAAGTGTGTCTATAACAATTTTTATCCAATTCTAGATAACTATTAATCTGCTTTATACAACCTGTTTTCTTCTAAAGAAATTTATATAAAAGGGCTAAGATATGTGTTCCTCTGTGTAGTATTTATTTTTTTTTGTATCATGATAAGACATACAAAGATAGGAAAAGCACAGTTTCATTTTTAAAGAACAAAATTAATTTATAGGCACTATTTATGAGAGCCCAGACATGAGCATCACAAGGAAAGACTTCAAAAGCATAGTGTTAAATTTGCACAAGACACATGAACAGAGAAACAAAGACTGGAAGACTGGGTGTGGTGTTCCAGGCTGTAATCTTAGGAGTTATGAAGCTGAGACAAACTGCACCACACATTTGAGGCCAGCCTTTGCTATACAGTGAGATCTTCCTGAAATAAAGAGTAAAATACAATAAAGAGAGAAAAAGAACCAAACAAAATGGTATAGACATAATATGAAGAGAGAAGATAGTTCAAATTAAGAATTAAGTTGCAGCTATAATACTAAGACGTACAATTACAGTCATACAAACTCAAAACTAAGACTGGAGCAAGTAGAGAAAATGTTCAGCAGTTTGAAAGAAAATTAATATTATGAGTCTAATCTATTAGAAAAATGGAAGGAAGCAATTTAATAGCAATTTAATATTTCCTGGAGAACATATAACATGCCATTGGGTCTACCTACATATACATTGTGGGTGTCCTAGGAGGAGAAGAGAAAAAGAAAGTAGTAGAAAGAAATATTTTAAAAAATAAAGGCTGAATACTTCCTACATTTGATAAACGTACATATGCATACACATTCACACACATACACATACACTTGTATACACACAAACATTAACACTAACATATCCAAGAATTTACTTCAAAAATCTCAATCAGCTTCAGGATCAACTAAAGAGTACACACATCTGAAGCACATTGTTGTATAATACAAAGTCTTAAAAAGCATGAAAAAATAGTTTGACCAAAGGGAGACTACCAGCTTTTCATCATAATCAGTGGAGAACAAAAGACAGCTGAATAGCATAGTTCACAGTATAAATGCTGGAAAAAAAAAAAAAGAAAAGAAAAAACTATCCACCAGGAAGCCTGTGGCACCAGAAAACAGATTCAGAAATGAGGGCACAGTAAGAAATTACCAAATTTAAAAGGCTGTGGTAGTTAATTCACCCAGATCCTCTTAAAAATAAAGAAAAATTATAAATATAATTTTAGTGAATTTTTATATTCTCTAAAGAGAGAATTTTTATATGTCAAAGGATGTGTTTGAGGAAGTGAAAAGATAGTTTCAGAATTGGAAAAATGTAGCTGCAAATCACATGCCATGTCTGTTGTCCATCATCTATTATATCTAGTATCTAACTCTTATGATTCAACAAGAAAATAAAATATACTACACAATCCAGCAAACGTCCAAATCAGATATTTATTTAAAACAAATATGAAAATGGCCATTAAACCTATGAAAGGTTCTGGAGATTGTTAGATATATGGGTGTACCAATAAGTCTCAAATAGATAACATGCATACCATGAGAACATGCATATATATCAAAATATCCAGAAATTACAAGCCTGGTGATATTGTGGGACATCCAGAGACTGGAAATATATATATATATACTGTAACTCAATGTCATAGAGAAGGCTTTGGTATTTTCTAAAAAAGCTGAAATATTTCAACCGTATATCTCAGTCACTGTACTTACTACTTGGAATTTAACTATGTTGTTGGTAGTAGATACTCCAACAAAAGTGTTGAATGTCAATATTCAGTGCAACATTATCTGCAGCAGACAAAATGCAGAGACAATATGAAGTATTTATTAGTAGAGTAGATATCTAAAGTATAATATATGAATAAACAATTAAAGGAATGGAATTGGGTATATGTTGAAATAAAGTGAACAGTCAATCACTAAGTTGTTTAAAGTATGCTATATATAATATAAAGGATATTGTATTCCATGCATATGAAACTTAAACAGTACACAAAAATTAAAAGACTATAGTTAACTGAGGTGACAGTTACTTGAAATTCTTATTTAACAGTGTCAAAGTTTCTATTTGGAATGGGAAAGATTTTAGTTCTCAATAGTGGTAATGGCTACAGAATGATCATATAATTAACACTGAGCTGAACATGTTACAAGCTTAAATAAGTAAGTTTGCTGTATTTGATCATTAAGTATAAATGAAAGCCAGTCTCTTAAAATCAGTATTTTATAAACATAGTCACTACTCTTAGTAATTACTTTATTCAAGATCAAAAGAACATCTTAACCAAAATGTTGAAACTGAACCATTTAGATATCATCCAGCTAAGGAGGGGCTTGGTTCCTGATACAGCCATTACAGTTTAAAATGTTTGTAAGTTTAAATGCACTTACTTCTTCTAACCAGCAAACACAAGAGTCCAATAAGCCAGGACTTTGTAAAGAGTCAGGGTCCTCTTATCCCTCTGTGTCTAGCAGGGAGCTACTCAACTACTTGTACTGTTTGAGGATTCTATGAAATCCTTAAGACTTGGAACCTTGCTGAAGGAAGTACATCACTGGGGAATGCTTTTGAGATTTTATAGCCTCAACCAACTTCTAGTTTTCTTTTTGTGTTTCCTGTTTTAGATGTGGTTAACCATGTTCTACTCAGGCTACATAACATACTGTTATGCCTTCCTTGTCATTATAGACTCTTGGACTGTAAGCCAAATAAACTGTTTCTTCTAAAGGTTATTTTGGCCACGATGGTTATCATGGCAAAATAAAGGAGCTGATAAAGATATGGATAGTTGTATCTATATTATCATCTAAATAGACAGAAAGAAATGTGAATGTATTTTCTCACTTGACCACAAGTAGCTGAGAATTTAATCAACACGTAAGATGGTGTCTGAGTAGTTCAATGAAAAAATGCAAACTGCCTAAAACTAGGTTGATTATAATTTCCTGTATCTATCCATAGTCATTGTTGGGCATAGATGTTTCTAATTTTCTCCTTTAACCCTTGAGTTGTTTATTTCAGAAAGTGAGAATAAACAGATTGTAACAGGAAGCAGATATGTCTATCTTTTAATTTTTGAAAAGTCAGCAACTAAGTCAGTGTCACAGTCTCATTGGGGTCTTGAAACATTTGATTCACTTCAACTAACGTTAACACTGAATCTTCTGATTAGAAAAGTCATTTCTGTAAATATTGAAGTAGACACAATCTTTGTTCTCTAAATTACTCCCCAAATAGGCACAGTGTGCCTCTGACCTCCACTGACACCTGTGTAAGTTTCAGTACTTACATGCATGCACCCCTTTCTGAGTAATGGGTAAATGACTTTTCATAGCAAGCTCTGCACTAATTGGATAAATGTAACATATTATAAACAGATGCTTCAACTGTACTCTGCATTTCTCTAAATTGATACTAAACATTCCATCACTTTAACCAGACAGAATTGATTTCCATTTCAGACTAACAATCACTTTTGAAAAGATAACAAGATCAGCGTTTTTTGTATCAATAGTGTTCAATAAACATTTTAATAAAATGGTATGTTTACTAAGATGGCAATAGGAGTGAAATCTGCAGCTTCTCCTAAAGTATGTATAATAGTCACTATGCATAGGCAGTTACTTATTTTTGATTGGTTTGTTTCACGTTGATTTCCTAAGTTGTAGTTAGAAACAGTAATCTGAAATGTTACATTCCCAGAACAAATTTCCTAACTCAGCTTGTTCTCCAAACCTGTGATATATCAACTGCATGATGTTAAGAGAAAGTCACATTTATCAACTAAAATTTCTATGTAAAATAAAATGCATTCATTGTATGTGATGCATATCTACAATCTTAGGTCAGGACTAAAGATGCACCATTATTGGTGTATTATAAAGTTTTCACATAGACCTTTCCTTTAAACAAAAGATTTATGTTGTCTTTTCCTATAATTAAATGAAAATATCAACATGAATCACATTTGTTTCTAGTAGTCATAGATTCTTGTTAAAGTTGTATTTACTCTATATTTAATTTATTTTACTTTGTGTTTGTCATG